GTCCAGGAGATGTTTTTGAGATTAATCGGAGCATGTTTGTATTTCACTACCCTCTTTCTTTCTTAGAGAAAACAAAAGTTACTCATGGATGGAGCTGCAATCTCACATGCTGTAAAATTTATATTGCTCCATAAAGGGCCCTTAAAAATCATTAGCGCACCGCTGGTGTTGTCAATGAGGAAATGGAGGGAGGTGAAGTGACACGTAAATGCAGGCCCTGTCCTAGAGTTGGCCCTGACATTGAACTGAGGCATGCATTTGACAACATAGTGTTGCCTGCGCTACTTCAGAGTTTGAGCAGCAGGCGACTAGGTGGACGGGTTGGAAGCAGCCTCGCAGTCCACCTTCTCACTCCTGTCGCACTCTTGCAGGCCAACCTGCCCCTGCTGCAGCGCGAGCTCCTCCACTGCGCAAGGCTGGCCAAACAGAACCCTGCCCAGTACCTCGCCCAGCACGAACAGCTGCTTCTGGATGCCAGCACCACCTCCCCTGTTGACTCCTCAGAGCTGCTTCTCGATGTGAACGAAAACGGGAAGAGGCGAACTCCAGACAGGTGAGAGGGTGGAGGACCCTGGGCCCATCACAGCCTGGTCCTCCTACCTGGGGTACGAGGACACGTTTCTTTGTAGTTTTGCTGCTGGCCTTCATCTCTGGGAGAATAGCAATGATATAAGAATGCGAAGTCTCAGCAGTGTTTTGCATAGTATATGTGAAACGTGGAGACTCTTAAAATGAAACTGCACTCTACAACTTGATTTGTCATACACTGGGTTTTTTTTTCTCTATTTTTTTTCTTATTTTTCTGCATTTAATCAGACATGGTGCAATAGCCTATGAGATGTTGACACTGGCCTAGTTATGTTCCAGATTCACAGTAGATTAAGATCCTTGGAACTGCCCAGAGACCTCTGTCTGTGACAGACTTAGCTACCCTTAAGTGTATTAGCTGCTGTGCAAATCAGAATATTATTAAAAGCCACCCATTTATAGTGTAGTCATTACATAATTCTCTGCTAAGCAGTTTTATGCTACAGTCTCTGGAATTTTTCTCCTCTTGGCCTAGGACTCCATGGTTTAAAATTCCTAAAGCAAAAGGTTAAATATTAGTGAAATATTGGAGATCCAGTTCCTCATATGACCTGCCCATGGTACTCCTTTCTTCTTTTTGAAAATTGTATTTTCTTGGTCAGATTTAAGAGGGAATAAGAGCATTTGGTACATTTGCTTTTAAAGGGAATTGCTTAATGCGGGTACCTGTGTGGTGTGTCTACACAATGATGAAAACGAAGAAGTGGCTCAGGAATAGATTTACGTGTCTATTCCTGTCCAGTCTGAGCCCATTAACCTTGTGGGAAATAAGTGCTGGTGCAGGTATTGATATTTTAGCTCCATGTTTCTAGTATAACGTGATAAAATAATTAGGGAGAAGTTGAATGGCAAATTGAGAAGAAGAAAATTTATTTTGGGGGGTGAGGAGGGTGTAATAAAAAGATTTAGATAGTTAGGATAAACATAAAGATAATCTTTGAAGCAAAATTCAAAGTGGGCATGACCTCAGCTAGAATTCCTAACTACTGAGTAATCGTAAGATGGAACATAAAAACTTTAGTTCATTCATTTTTTTCTATATTCCCAGCCATTTTCCCACTGGCTCTTTTCTAGCAATTTTTATTTGAATGTAACATGGCTTTTGACTTTCCTGGGACAATCCTGAGGTAAGCTCTAAGCAGTTAACCTTGATATCAAAACTTCATATTAAATTCCACAGACACTCAGCATTCTTGTTCTGATCTCTAACTCTCTCTCTCCTCCTCTCCCCTACCCCCATGTGTGTGTGTGTGTGTGAGTGTGTGAGTGTGTGTGTGTGTGTGTGTGTGAGAGAGAGAGAGAGAGAGAGAGAGAGAGAGAGAGAGAGAGAGAATGCTCATTTAGTCAGGCTGAAGACTCTTAAAAGGAGTTTTCTGTCTTGTTCTCTGGTTATTCACAGACAGTTGCTGTAGTCAGAATTCATATGGTTGATCTTTGGATGGAACATCTCTTTTCAAAAGGAACCCTGAAGTATATGTTATAATAGAAAGATGGCAAATAGGTTTCCTTAGAATTTTCCTTAGAAAGAATAATGAGACTATGTTGTGTAAATACATTTGTATCTCGTGGGAATTTGATCTGAGCCAAGAAAATATGGACCTCTATAGTATTGGGCTTTTCCCTTATTTTCTTTTTGCATGTATTTCCTGCATCTTGTTTGCATCTGCATTTTCCTCTTCTCTGGCTGTTTATCTGCATATCCAGCTCTACTATATGAAATTTTATAGAGTATGGAGCTGTCTGACAGCAGAGCTTTTTTTGTTTTACTGAATGTTTTGTTGGTGCATATGGTCTGACATGGATGAGCAGCCACGGTGAGATTTTGGAGTCTATTAAACTGGCTCATTAAAAAGATCAATCTGTTTCTGTAATAACACTGGGAGCCATCAGTCACTAAAAGAGGGAAAAACTGACACCTGAGGAGAAAACACATTTTGGTAATTTGTTCATGACATGTCATGAACAAAAGAGCGCTTTATATTTTGTTTACAACTTTGGGGGTTTAAATTCTGTGACAATTGCTGAGTTAATGTACTAAACAACCATCACGTGTTACAGAGATGGGCTTTGGCAAATTGAACTGCTCATCCTTAAATATTATTGACACAGGTTATATTTTTTTCTTTTTAAAAACATTATTGTTATTTAAAGAAATTTTATAGCCCAGAGAAGTCTATGGAATCTCTTTTTTCCTCTATTTTTTCTCTATACAAAAGTGAAATGTTCTCTAATTTCTTTAAAATAATAGCTCTATGGAGAGTTCCTAAACAATTGTACTGAATTTGTTGGTCTATGATTGAATACTGTGGAACTCAAATTAGAAAAAAACAGTTTTCACTTAAAAATCATGCTTTGTTTTTCCTGTCCCAAATATTAGGAAAGAGAATTCTGATTTGTATTTTTCTTCACTAAATGATGTGAACACTTTCACAAATATGACTCTAAATTAAGGGCACTCTTTTTTTTTTTTTTTTAAATAAGGGATTAAACCCAGGGGAACTTTACCACTGAGCCACATCCCCAACCCTTTTTATTTTTAATTTTGAGACAGGATCTCACTAAGTTGCTTAGGGCCTCACTAAATTGCTTGAGACTGGCCTTGAATTTGTGATCCTCCTGCCTCAGTCTTTTGAGTTTCTGGGATTTCAGGTGAATACCACCATGACCTGCTAAGGGCACTGGTTTTAATCCTGCTCTCTCTGTGATGGCTTCTAAAGACAAGAAGCTTTCCTATGGAGTGTGGAGGGAAGTGAACAGCTAGTGCTTGATTTCATGGAGACTGAGTGAATAAATACTAAGATTTTAGAACAATACTAGTTATTCTAATTAACTGCTGTCCATCCTTTCTCACAGCATCGATATCATGGCTTTTTGTTATAATTTGCCTTTTGTATTGTGTTCTCACCTGTTCTGCTACTTTTCTGACTCAGGATTTTTCTTGCTGAAGAAACCAGATGAAATGATCTTTGGTCTTGGTATCATTATTTGGTATTGGTATCATTATTTTTGTTGTTGTGATTTGTTTTCCCTTTTCCCCCTACGATCTCAAATGATAAATGCTATTAATCCCTTTCTTATACATTATCATTTTAATAGGACTGCTTTATATCAACTGCAGTTTAACACCTCTAGGCTTTTATTCCAGAGGCCTCATAGTTGGATTAATTTGTATTTCTTCTTCCCCCAATAATTAAACATTTTCTGGAAGGACTTGCTTGTACCTTAGAATTACATGATGTCAACTAGGAGGGATCTTATGGATATACCAGGACAACTCCTCCTGTTTACACTTGAGGAACTGAAGGCCCCAAGAATTTGTCTAGGGTTGCAGAGTTTCATAGTGGACAAATCAGTGTATGCATATGTGTGAATGTATATTTTTAACATATATTATTATTAGTAGTAGTAGTAGTGGTAGTAGTACCAGGGATTGAACCTGGGGCTGCTTAGCCACCAAGCCACATCCCCATTCTTTTTTCATATTTTTTTTTATGTAGAGACAGGGTCTCACTGAATTGCTTAAGGTCTCACTAAGTTGCTGAGGCCGTCTGTGAATTTGCAGTCTTCTTGCCTCAGCCTCCCAAGTTGCTGGGATATAGGCATGTGCCACTGCTCCTGGAAAAGTGAGCATATTTACACAGCTGAAATCTTCTCATTATACAAATGTGGTTTTTTTTTTTTGTGTGTGTGTGTGCAGAATTTAAATAAGGAAAACTTAACTAAGAAATGCGGGGTTTTTGTCTTACTTTCTCACATTTCTTTAATTGCTCAAGTGGGTAAATGGTATCACATAATATTCTGAGGTTTTATAAATCCTTTTAATGATAGAAGATCCAAAGTGAGCTACATTGCCTGCCTGAATGAGTAAGTTAGAAAATGTCACAGGTTTGAGGGGCCAAAGACAGTCATTTTGAAACCCTGTTGTTTGAATATCTGAAAATTATCATTGCATTACTCACCAACTGAACAGAGTGGACAGTGTTAATTTTCTGTAAAATGAACAGGGTGTCAGTGATTATGTTATTTTAAAAAGAACACACAAGTATATTTTATAAGAAATTGTTCAGTCAATTGTCTATGCAAGTGAGAATGAAATTTGTATGATCTATTGCATTTAATATTCCATGAGTAAAATGTAGGAATTCTATCTTCAACTTTGTTTTACATTGCATCTTTTCTGCATTCCTCAGTTTCAAGAAATATATGATCATCCCAGTAGTCATTATTATTTTTTATATTAGTCACATCAATTATGAGATGTCTAGTAAAATAGCATTCAGTTACATTTATATGGTGAGAAAGACAGCGTGATTGTGGAGGTCTTCCAGGCTCTGCAGTCTCAGCCTTAATTGACACCTTACTTCTTTCCACACCCCAGGTCTCTCCCTCCTGAATATTTTTCCAGTCCTAGCTGTATTCCCACTGATGGTTTCTGTTCTTTCCTGCTTCTCCTATGTCAGCATTGGCTTTACATACTGTCTCAGTAGCCATCATGTGAATGAAGGTTCCTAGTCATAAATCCTATAAGAATGGTCACTATTTACCAGGCAATAGATGTGCCAGGCCCTGTATGTTTTTTTTTTTAATGAACTAATATATAACACTTATTTTCTAACAGTGCTATTGGTGTACATTCAGGAAGGCTGAATGTCTGAGGTCATGTGGCTTCAAAGAGACCCTGAGGGATTCTAATCCTAGGCTCCCAACTCAAATACCTGTGCTCTTGATATACCAGGCCAACTCTAGGCCAACCCAATACTCTAAACCATGATTCTCTGCCACCAGCCTCTGCATGTCCCAGCTAGGAAACAAAAGGCTTTGACTAACTTATCAAATGCCAACCATGGGTTAGGCCCTGTATATAGACTCTTTCTATAGTCCTCTCAGCACCTCTAATGTAACCCCCATTTTATAGATAAAAACAGAAGGTCTTAGAGGTAGGCCCACCAAGGTCACACGACCAGC